CCCCCGCTTTTTTTTTTCTATTTGGATTTTAAATATTCCATATTTTTAAAAAAAAAAAATCCGTAAAGTATTTGCCCTGGAGTTTCTTTCCTCCTTCTGTTTCAATATCTACGTTGACTGAACCGGTGAAGATGGATAAGAAGTCGTTTGAAACGGTGCTGGATGAAATCAGAAAGGTAACAGCTTGCTCTGCATGTGGGTTTGACCCTCTGGTTGGGGCTGGTGCAGGTGTTTTCTGGTGTTATTGGTCGCATGGGAGTTGAACAAGTGTTAAATTGTTTCTGACCCTGAAGAGGGAGGGCGTGGGGGTGCCGCCGGCGCTGCCCTTCGTGCGTGGGGCACTGAGGCTTTGTGCTGTGCTCGCTGTCCTTGAGTGCTGAGCACGCAGTGAGATGCAGAGCTCTTGGAGTCCGTAAAGAACCAAGCAACGAGATTTGAGGCCTTTTAGGACGAACAAAATGACTTGTTTTAAACTACCATTGGAAAGTCTGCAATGCATATTGAATAACTGTAAAATTAAAGCACAGAGTTGAAAGGTCGGAGTTGCGCATCATATTCGTTGCTCTTGCCCTGTGTGCTAAAGGTGACTCCTCAGTTTTCTTGTCTCATTTAACCTTCCATCGTGTAATTAGTTTTAGTTCTCCTGAATAATACCATGTTCAAGAGCATTTTATGCTCCTGAACAGCACCTGCTTGCAAGGTCACTTTTGCCCTGCGGTGATTGCCCATATACAGGACGAGTGTGAAGACAGGTCCAGTCTTTGCAGTGATAAGCCAGGTCATCAGGCTCTGCTCAGCTGGGAGGTTCTGTAGGAGTTTCAGATGAAAGCTCTCCTGGAAATTTAGATGGTTACGTTGACCTGTCGTTGTTTTTGTGTGTTATTTTGTTGTCCTTTGAAAGTTCTCTTAAAGTGTTGCTTCTGAGTGTGGGTCTTTGGCTCAAACCTTTTTACATTTTCTCAGGAGATTGAGATTTTTCTAAGCTCTTTGCACTGCCTGACAAAATGTGATGGGAAAATGCTTGTTTGAAGTAACCAATTTATCACTGCATTTTTGAGGAAGAGAACATGAAATAAAATACTGCTTTTTGGCTTTTTTTGTTTGATGTGACTAGAGAAGTTAACTTGCAATGTGAGGTGTCCACTTTATATATAATGGTTTAGAAGACGCATGTTTAAGGCACTGGAGGGCTGAGTCCTAAGCTGTCCATGCTGAAAAACCAAATTTCTCAACCCAGACCCACGTTATCCTAGATGTAATGTAAAATCCTGGAGTTTGATCTGTCTTGTTGGAAAACTCCTTCAAAAAAATACGTATTTGGTGTGAGAAGCTGAGATTGTGACCCTGGTCATCTTCTCCTGCCCTTCTGCATAGAGGTCTGTTTTTAACATGAATCTTGGAAATCAGCTGTCCTGGCAGTTTTCCCAGCCCCTGGGGATGGCCAAGGAGGTGGAAAACTGAAGGCAGCCGTAAAAATGTCCACATCCTTCAGACCCTCTGGAATTAACTGTCTGACATGAGAGGTGGAAAAAACCTCCAATTATGGATTTTACTGTAGTTCAAATGTTAAGCACGGATGAGCCTTTGTTACCCCAACTGCTCCCACTAGCGATTTTGCATGAGGCCGTTATCAGAAATCCTTCTTTATAAAACAAGGATGCACCATTTGTGTGATCGGTCAGGCTGACAATTTCCTAAACGGGAGAAAGAGCTGGTGTGTTATTTCCTCCCACCCTCACATGTTTTATGGGAATTTGGGGGAGGGGGAACTGAGAAACAGCTTTCATGTGACATATTTTCTCTGAGAACTGGAGGGGGAGGGAGTGCTGTTTCAAATGTTACTAGTACTGCAGTGCAGCACTTAAATTCTCCATATGACTAATAAGTACTTTTCAGACAAAAGGTTTTCTTGACATGTAATTTTAGGCAATTACATGCTTTTCCTGTATTTTTACAAACAAAGCTTACTGTTAATTCTTAATACTGTGCTTTGTTAATACTAGCTGCTGCTAACATTTCTGCTGCTTAAAATTCATTTTTTCAAACACTTGTTTTGTATCTGTTTTTCAGTCTTCGTTTAAACTTCATTTCTAGCCCTGTAGTAAAACCTCTTTTCTGTTGTTTGCAAGTAATCCTGCCACTACACTGAATTTTCAGTCCTACATTTAGTAGGAAAACCATTGATTAAACACCTTAGTATGAGGCTTACTTGCATCTTTCCCCACGTTAATTTGTGATTATTTATATTTTTTTCCAAAATGCACATAGCAGTGCTTTTTTTTTGTGTGTGAGTCATTCAGTTGTTAATTTAAGGAGTAAGAAAAATTTTAGTTTTGATAAAGGAGTTGCTATATGAGATACTAGACTTTTTTTTTTCCCTCCTAAATATATGAAAAGAAGAAACGGGGAGAAGAAAAAGAGTGTGAAGAGAGAAGTGGTAATTTTGCCCTGTAACTTGAGCATTTCTGGTGGTCTCAATCTTGCAATGAGACGCAGAAAGGAAGAGGGTTGCCAAGCAGAGCGTGCAGATGGTTTTCTGTGCACCTATGCTATTTATAATTGGATTGCAGTGAGAGAACAGCACGGCTGTCAGGGTGGAGTGGTGGTGTGGGGGAAGCAAGAGAACAGAGATGGGATTTAGGCCCATGCAAAATAGCTGGGAAGAAGATGGAAACGGGTGTGGTGGGTGAAGGGGAGAGAAGGGTGTTTTGAGAGTGGTTAGTATGAGAGCTACCAGTGGAGGAGGGCCGTACGTGAAGAAGGGAGTGTGTGCCAGCTAGGATGGTCCCAGGTGAATTCCTGCCCCTTTTTTTATGCTCTTTATTTGTGCCAGTGTCCTCAGTGTGAGGAGAAGGGGGAAGGCCTGGCTCTTGCATGGCCCACATGCCATTCGAACTGTGTCCTGCTGCTAAGTCAGAAGTGGTGGCCAGTGCTACATTAGACCCCTCCGATTCCTTTGGTTTGTGTGATTGAATAAGCTCAGCATCAGCTGCTGATGTAGCCTTTTCATAAATGTGCTGAAATAAGATACTCTGCTAATTCTATTAAAGGAAACATTTGCAAATGCTGTATAAATAATGACCTGTATTATCTCATTTAAAATAAAGTTAGTGTAAGCTTTGGAAGCAAAGGGAATGATGATTATCTTTCAGTACAATTTTAAGTCAAAAAATGTGAAGTGAAGCAAATAAATGAGTGGCTTCGTGAACAGAAGAATTAGATGTCCTCTCTGTCTTTCATTGTTTGCTTAGTGGTCTATGGCATATCCTTAGACAATTCTTAGAAATATTTCAGTATAATTTTTTGTAGGATCAGACTTTTTTTTTTTTTTTTAGTAATGCATTTGTCTAGCAGATGACTGTGCTATAATTTTTGAGAGGCTACTTATGTGTCTCTTTTCTCTTTTAGGCTGTATTGACTGAGTACAAGTTAAAAGCTATTGAATATGTTCATGGATACTTTTCAAGTGAACAGGTAAAAGTCAACATGAACTTGAGCTCAAGGGAATTCTTGGTTTTGCATATCCAGTAGTACACAAATACATTTTCTTTAATCATACTCATGTTTGCTTTTTTTTATTAACTGAAGTGACTTAAATCTACATTGTTATATCTCTTTAATTTGCATGAATCTGTTAAAAATAGGTTTTTGTGTGTGTTTTAGTAACTATTACATTTTTAGTTTCTCAGATGTAGGAAAATTAAGTGTCATGGATTAGCAGTTACTTTGGATGTAGTTTCTAAACAGCCAATTGTTATTTTGTCACTGTGGATTTATTTGTGTATTGTTGTCATATTGTTTGAGGTAGTGAATATTTCTAAGCTTTTGTGAGAAGGCATTTTAATAACTGTAATAGATTACTTCCGCAAGGATCTATTTTAAATATTTTTGTAAAAAAAAAAAAAAAACTCAAAAGGCAGTTTTTTTAAGAACTTACTTTAAACAAAAAGCGTATTAACTCCTTTGATTGCGTTGAGGTTGTCCGATATCACAGATGGACATGTTTTAGCATACATTAGCATAAATTTTGAATCAACATAAAGGATTAATTGAAGTCCTTTCTGTTGCAGGTTGTTGAGTTACTGAGATACTTTTCCTGGGCTGAACCACAGCTCAAGGCGATAAAGGCTTTGCAGCATGTAAGTTTTAGTAGTATAACCTTGTATTTGCCTCCCTAATCTGCCTTTAATTGTTATGTATACTTATCCAACTGATGTGTCCACCCTTTCCTCTTCAAGCTTCTGTTTTCCCCTTTCTTTTTCAAAGGGATCATAATAAGAGGTGTCAGACTTCTAAACAGGGCATCTCTTCTTACTGAACTTTCACCTTCCTCTCTTATCACAAGAACAGTTGTTACCTGTTTTAACTGTTAACAACTTTTGTGTCTTCTTTGTTTTGGGCAAGTGCTTTTCAGAGTTGTTTGCTCAGCATTTAGCACGTATATTCTTCCCAGTGAAAAGGAGAAAATATTAAACATAGAATCATTATGGTTGGAAAAGACCTTCAAGATCGAGTCCAACTGTAAAACATACATTGCAGTACATGATACAAAGCAGCTACCATCTTGCATTATGAATTTAAAGCAATTGTACTGCCTTATGCTATGTAAACTTTTTTCTTGCTTACTCAACAGAAAATAGTAGCTGTTCCAGCATCAAAAATGGTTAATATTCTCAACTGTTTCACGTTCAGTAAGGACAAGCTTATTGCCCTAGAAATCTTAGCTTCGTAAGTACCTCTTGTGTTGTATTTCCTTAAGATGTAATTGTTATCTTTAATCAAGTTGGAGTGTGTAAAACTTAAGATACTTCTAGAAGGAAACACTGTGACTAGTTCAGGTAAAGGACAACTCTTTGCTCAAAAGCCAAATTCATTACTATTGGGGCTGTAAAAAGAATAAGAATTATGTGTAAAATTCTCAAATTCATCTGAGTTTTGAACATCGTGCTATGCAGGCTTCTGCCAGCTGGAAATCTGCCACTTCACCACTGTATTCAAAGTAGACTCCAAAGTTTTTAGAATAATTAAGAGGTCCTTATGCTTATTTCTGTTCAATGAAATACAAAAGGCTTGGGAACAGAGTGAGTAGAGGTGTAGCTGTGCAGTCTGTTCACTAACACTTTTGCACTTGAAAACCTCTGTAAAAATATATATTTGTGAACATTAACTAAATACCTGCTTTAACTTGGCTCATTTGACTTACCTGGAAAATTTATATAGACATTAGTTTTTTATTTTAAGTGTAAACTTGTGCAACAAGATTTCTTCTGTTGAACATAGCTGCTTGAAAGGATCTGGCATTTACATCTGTTTACATTAGAAAGCTTCTGATTTATCATATGAATCAATATGATTGGTGAACAATTGTTCTGTGTGTTGATGTTTTTGTTTTGCCTTTTTTTTTTTTTTGATAAAGCATGTCTGCCCTGCATATGAGCTACTGTTTATCACAGCTAGCTCAAACATTTTCTTACAAATTCTCGATATAAATTTATGTAAATAAATAAGACTGAGGATGTAGGCATGGTCTTGCCTTTGGATTTGATCTGTAGGAAGCTGTGTGATGCTCCAAATCTGTTTGTCGGAAGGAAATCAAGTAAATTCCTGAAGAAATTTCAGCAGTACATTAAACTAACCTGTTTTATTTTCCTTGAAATGGGATTAGGACTGATTAGTGGCTGTTCTTTAGCTGGTGGGGGCGGTGCATATGGCAACTATTTAAAGTGCTGAGCTTCTGCAGTGCAAGAACAGAAGGGAGTCATTGTGAAATAAAAATCCCAGTCAAGGTCTTTGAATTTACTTTCTAAATAAAGCTAGAGAAGAGAGCAAAAGTACATTCACATCTTAATACCATTCTTTAAGGTATTTGACATGTCTTTGTTCAACATCCTGATAATTCAATTTCTTTTAATATTTTCCACCATTGAGAAGCCTTCCTTTAAGGGGCTGTGCTGCAGTTCCTGCAGCTTGGGTGGGGGCAGACAGGACATTGGGCAGCACTGAAGGTGCTGTGGTCAGGTCGAAGCAGGTGTGTACAATCAGACATTAGGCTGTCTACTGTGTTTGCAGATTTTTTTTGTTTGTTTATTCTCTTATATGCAACTGGCATTATTTTGGGGAGAAGAGCAAAGAGAAGGGAAGCTACTTTTTGGAGCTATCTAAAGAGTTTTATTAGCATTGCAGGACATGAGAATCTCAAGGACTTCATCTCTTTCATTCAAAGTAAATAGACAGTAAACCTTGTGGCTGGTTTTTTTTTTTTTTTTTTTTTTTTTTTTTTTTGCTGTGATGGGAATTGTTTGCTAGTAGCAATTAAAGCTTTCTAACAAACTGCTATGATGCAAAAGTCATTTTGTCAATATGGTTATTTTTGCTATAAAGCTTAATCACTGTCCATTACTTTGGTAAGTAGTGATTAATAAGTAGTCCTAATCAAATGACTGATAAATAATCCTAATACCATGTTTCACTTGCATGTATGAGATGCATATTTAATTAAGCCTGAGGTTTTTACTTTAATATTGATAATGTTATGATTTGAACTTATTATTCTGTGTTGCATACTGTTTGAATAAGTGTTCCTTTTTTCTGTAGTGCATTATTTCTGGTAAGCATATGAAATAATAGTAATTGTTTGTAAATATCTTCCTTTTTAGCAACATTGTTGATGCTCAGAATTATCGCCTTATTGAGGATCTGTTCAGAATTAATATGTCAGAGAAAAAAAGATGCAGGAGAATTCTTGAGCAGGTATTTAAGATGCTTTAGTTTTCTTGATTCTTTAAAATAAAGTATTGTTTCCATCCTATGGTCATGGTCCATAAGAGCTGCTAGAAACTGCTCACTGGAGACAACCTGAAAGTAGCATTTGCAAAAAGAAGAACCATGTAACGCATGTGTGAAAAAATAAAAAAGGAGGGGGGAGGGGTGTGGTCCAGTATCAGGATCAGATGGGAAAAGGGGCATGGACATGTAGCCAGTTCTTAAGGACACACTCTGAGTTTGCTTTAAAGAACACCAAGTGTTTGCACCTAAGCTTTGTAGAAGCAGAGGAGGGTTGAGTTATTCAAAACAAGGGTCTTTGGCAAAATCTCAGAAGGGAAGATTATGTGGGAAGAAGACCCAACATCCAGGAGAGACACAACTTTGTATTGTACTGCAGAGATGGATTAATTCAGTCGAAATGTCATGGAATAGTAATTCATTTTGTTAAAACATGGAAATTTATAGCAGATAATATATTTTCTTTGATTATTTCGCAGGCTTCAAAAACAGGTTGCAAGGCTCCTCATGCTATGATATCATCCTGTGGCATGATTCCAGGCAATCCTTATCCCAAGGGCAAACCAAGCCGCATAAATGGAATTTTCCCAGTAAGCATGATCATTTCCTTGGGCTTTTCATAGCATCCTTGATTTGGGATTTGTTGTAATCAAACCAGGATTTATATACATGGATGGAAGAATGGAATTAAAAGCCATGTTGTTGCTTTCTGAAATTACTCCATTATGGGTTCTTAGTCAACCTGCAGTGTTTTTATTTGCACATTCTTTTTGTTTTGATTTGTGTGAAGACTACTGCATAAGTAAGATTCATGTATGGAAAAGATTGTAAACTACAGGTATATTTAGCAGAATGAAGGAACTAGAGGTTTAAATATCCCTAATAGTAGGTAGGTGAGATGACCTAATATACTCACTACTGTAATACTGTTAATCCTAATGTTAATCTTGAATAACTATGTTAAATATTTCTTATGATCACTGAGAGACAAAATACAACCTGTGGTAAAACATGGACTGTTTAATATGCATCACTTTACAGAAGTCCAGTGTTATACATCAAACTTCAGGAATGCTCTTTCTTAACATTTTACAAGCATAGAACACACTTTGATTCTGAATAAGCATGATCAATTATCATATTCAGAATATCCAGAAATTTGACTGTAATTTAGAAATAAATATGCAAAAAGAAATCTGTAGCAAATTTCGCTTTTAATGCTTAATAGCTTCTTTTTTTTTTTTTTTTTTATTTTCTCCAGGGAACTCCTATCAAAAAGGATACAGAAGAGTGTACTAATGAAGGAAAGGGAATAGCAGCCCGTATACTCGGACCATCCAAACCAGTATGTCTAATAAATGAATACAGGAAACATGAAGAAAAAAAGTGCAATCATCAACCAAATTCATAAGGCTTTTTATGAAGGCTGTTATGTTACAGGAGGAATGCAGAATAGCAATTTGAAGAAAGCTTAATATCTAAAAAATAATTTTAAATGACATGGTATTTCTGTATGTAACTTGAGAGGAGTCAAGTTTTATTGTATATCCTTAGGGAATATGAATCTCTAATGGATACAATATGCTGTCATTCAAGGGCAGATTTTAAATCACAGTAGCAGAAGAGAAAACTAAGAGCAATTTGGGGAGCCCATCATGAGCTAGTGGAAGTTTTAGATACAAATTCATGCAAATGTGGGAGACTCTTTGATACTGAGTTATAACAAGTGAAGTGCATGCATCTTGAAAGTGTGAATTAAGGGGGTGCCTTATGAGGAAGTTTTTGTTTCTTGACAGCACAGCTGATCTGTATTTCTAACATTTTAAGCATGTAGAACAAACATTCACTGAATTTGATACGAGTTCTACTGTGAGTTATGAAGTATTGTCCAGATATTTTATTTGCACTTTTCTGAAGTGTTCCCCACTGAACCATAATATGTTGAAAGGATAGATAACTTCATAATTATTTTAAAATGTACTAAATATTTAGCACAAAGACTGTGGGATGTGAAGACTACAAGGCAGGAATGAGTTCCTTCTTCCTGCTTACATTTGATAAAATCTAAAGATATAAAGGGGTGTGCTTCCTTCTCTTCGGAAGGTATGAAACATTTATAGCCATTGTAGCGATTATCCTAAAATTTAGTATCATAATGCTTTTCTCATGAAGTGACCTGTGCAGCATCTGAATGTTAAATTTCTGTGTGAGAAACATTGCCTAATGCTTTCACTATTGCTTCTTGCTTTTTTTTTGTTTGTTTTGTTTTATGTAGGCTCCATCAACCTACAATCCACACAAACCAGTTCCATACCCCATCCCACCATGTCGGCCACATGCAACTATTGCACCAAGTAAGCTTCTATTATGTTTTAGCTTGATGCTATTGTTTCATCCATTTTCCTTTTAAGTAAAGAGTGTCTAGTGCAGTTTCTCTGACCATGATCATATCTGAAATTGGCTTGGGCTCCCTAAGCATGCTCTGGGTACTAGTCTTTGCCTCTTCCTGTCATGATTACAGAGTTAATAAAGTGAGGGCTGCTTTTTCCAACATCCGCATCATTGAGAAAACTAATAATCCTGTTCTAACAATAAAATATTTAATGTATGGGAGGCATTATGCATGTAAGACTAGGTAGGGTTTCACTAACATTTGACCAAATCTGGGGCTTTGGCTTGTCAAGTCTGTTGCTCTTGTGTCAGATTTAGGATGTGGTCAGGCACACCTAATCTGTTCCTCAATTATCTACAGTAAATTGTCTTACTTTCTCCCCATCATAGTGGAACATAGCTCCTTTTATCCAAAAAAAAAAAAAATGTTTACATCAATCTCAGAAGGAAGGTAGTGGTTGCAGTGTGCAGTGTTTGATTCTGACTCTTCCTAGCCTTGTGCCTCAGGCAAGACTTGGCTTTTTTTTGCCAAAGTGTCTTTTGCCTTTGCTTTGCTACATCAGGTGTTTGATTCCAGACATTTGTGGAAAAGAGCAAGGTGCTTAGCAGCACATTCCTCATCTGCAACTGAAATGCAGCTGAATCTGGCTACTTAAATACTGGGACAGGGGTTTTCCTGGCAGTGCTATTGAGTTGCCACTTACCTAGAAGAATAGGTTGGAGTACATAACATAATCAGGCTCTGAGCTTTCTGTGCAGTCCTTGAAAGCGATTTGGGACCATGCCATTCTGTGTTACATAACAAAGAGTGCGCTGCTTTAGAGGCTTTTCATGGTGCTAGAGGCTTCAGGGAGCTTTCCAGATGCGTGATAATGGGGTGTGCTAGAGCTGGTTTGAGATGGTAATAGTGTGGCTTTTGAAGAGTGAGTCATTTCACCAGCCTGATGTTTACAGATCCCTTTGTTATCATCAGTTCAGAAAAATGGAAACTGCTGGTGACTAAAATATGTTGAGAGATCTTTTGGTTTGTTAGACTGTAGACTCGAATTTATATTAGATTAGTCCTATCAAAATTAAGTTAGAGCACAAAATTTGGCTTCTGAGTAGACATAAATATCAGTTTTTAGAATATGAAATAACATGAGCTCTTGGTGCCTTATTAGGCTGTAATTTTTTTTTCTTGTAAAGAAAGGGCCCTTGTTAATGGGGAACTAATGGTTTACTCGAATCTGGCTCTTGAGAGTTATGTTTCCTTAGGAAATTAAAAGTGTATTTCAAAGTGGGAACAGATTAATTTCTATTGCTTTTGACTATTGCATGCATGTTACTTTGTATGTGGAGAGAGAGTGTTCTTAAGTACAACTTGACTGTTTTTAAATAATGGTCAAAAACAATGGATTTTTTTTCTCTTCCCCATAAACATGGACATCTACCAGAGCAGCACAGTTATTGTTAATACTTTTTTGAATTTGAATCATGAGTTGTCATGGCAAAAATCTAACTTTAGATAGATCTGCTGTAAAAGTGTTGCATCAGGAAGGAGTTTTGTATGGCATCTTACTGCATTCTGAATATTGTTCATGTTCAGGAAGCATAAATTTGCATATGTTTAAAATGTTCAGGGTCGTTGTAGCATATGCATTCCTGTTTAAATTCTGATGAAGTTCTTCAGAACCATATGTCATGGCTATAGGACTGCAGTTTGAGTTACTCCCCCCCCCAAATTGTTTTGTATCAAAGTTATCTGCTATCCCACTTAAGATTTTTAATATTTAACAAGATATTGAAGGATGATGGGCTAAGTATTCAATGTGCACAGTATTGGGACATTTTCTCTTAATTTTCTGACTAGTACTGAAAGATTGGCAGATGATCACTGCTTTGCATTTGCATCTTGATTTCTAAAGGCTTTAACATTTAAGGGAAGAGTTGCACAGACTAAATTAGGAACAGGAAACAGACCAAATACTGCTGCAGACACTCCACTCCTTTCCCCCCCAGTTTTTCAGTCAACATGGCACTGAAAGCAACAGAAGCCTGGCTTTTTCAGGCTATTTAAAGGAGCAGAAAGTACATTTTAGTTCTTGCTTGGTTCTGTTACTAAAAAATAGTTAGGGAACTGTCCTTACTAAAACTTGTATCACAGTGCATGTCGTTTGGGCTGGCTTTGACAACAGTCTGGATAATAAACTCTGACTTTTTTTTTTTCTGGAGGGATATTTTACAACTTTGAATATATGCTTTTAATGAAAGATACTTTTGAGTTTATTCAGGTGTGTTCTTTTGATAGCAAGCTGCACGTTGCATTTGTTTTTAGGTGCTTACAACAATGCTGGCTTAGTTCCAATGGCTAATGTCATAGCTCCAGGCTTACCAGCTCCTCCACCATACACTGCTAATCAAGTTACATCAGGTAAGGTATTGTAGGCCTTTAAAAATCTTACTGATGATTTTTTGATTTTTTTTTTTTGTATTTTTTTTTATTTTCCCCTCCATTATTGTAAAAGGACCATTTTTTCTGCTGGGGTTCCATCTTATAAATAACTCTCTGCTGTTCTTTATTTAGAAAATGAGGACCTTTCCAGTCAGGCAAAACCTTCCCAAAATCAAGGTAAATTGCAAGGGCGATTGTGTGTAGACTTTAACTTTGTTCAGAAAATGTAAATAGTTTTTCCTTGGTGGGATTTTCATAAGCATCTAAGTATTTAACTGCTTATTGGAGTAAGATCCCTTCAGAGTTAAGGAAAAAGTCATCTCAGGCATTTGGCACTTGGAGGTTTTGAAACACTAAAATCTGGCCATTTGAGTTAGTGCATTGATTTTTTTTTTTTTTTTTCTGTTCTTGAGCATCTATATATACATTTGAGAAATCACGTAAAAGCTAAATCAAAATATATTTGGAAGTGTAAAGCACTGAAGCATTTCATTAGTATCTGAATGTGTTAAAACACTGAACTTCAGTCTATTTGAAAACCCACTCACATTTCTTTCATACACAAATTGCAATGGAAAACTTGCAATATAAATACTGCAGACTGTTACATCTAGCAGCATGGTTCTGCATTCCCTTATAGCTATAACTCTTTTTGCATAACAGTGTTTTTCTAATTTATTTTGGTCCATATTTGAGTAGTACTTAGTATACTGGGTTTTGGTTTGGGGGTGTTAGTTATACAAACAATAATTAAATCCTGTTCCAAACTACATATATTTACTTTGATAAGACTTTGTTAGTTTTGAGAAATAGAAACTGAGGACTACTATGTGTATTAAGTCAGGCATTCTAGCAAATACCCAATGACTATGTTAAGTTTAAATTCTGTAAATATGTGGGGAGGGGCGAAGACTGAGGAGGGGATTTTTGTTTTGTCTTTGCTCCACATTTTAAAGACTTGTTTCATGCATCTATGTCCTTTAAGTGCATATGCATGTATTTGCAAGATAGTTTAGAGAAGTAAATCCATAAAGTGCAAGACAAAGTCTGAGAAAAATTCAGTAATAGCTCTAGGTTCTATTACAGTTGCATTTCATTACATAACCCTGACAGCAACACTAGCTACTGTAATAAGAACTGTGATCATTAGGAGATTCTTCAGTTTGGAAATGGGATGAGGTAGAGAAAAGTCCAGAGCAGTCTGGATTCAACTTTTTGAAAAGGAATATTTAAAAGGAAGTTTTTTACAAACTGACTGATTGTAGTTTAAAGGAAGTTTTTTACAAACTGACTGATATTATAGTTTTAAGATGGGGGAAAAAAAAAAAATCTTTGTCATATCAGCTTAGAGTCCAGTGTTTAAAAATTCTGTTTTTGTTTTAGGGGCATGTGCATGTGTTGAGCAGGAGGTAAATCCAGTTTACTGCACATAGGTATACTATGTTGGCTAGTTGGATCAGTGATTTGTTTGCACTTGAGCAGATTATTGCCAAAGTAAAATAAATGAGTTGTTTGAGAGGAATGATTAAAACATTAATATTCTTCAAATTCAGTTCTAGGGAACTACATGTAAAGATATCAAAGCTTGACGTGCTAGGGTTCACAAGTGCAGCTTTTCTCCATTAACCCCTATGTCCCCGTTAGTAGTGTGCCTTCCGGGTCTCCTACAGCTTGGTATCTCTTTGTAGGGTTGACATAGACCCTATTTGTAGTGGCAGGTGCTTGCCTCTGTTACAGATACCTTAAAACTTATAAGCTACCACTGGCACTTGACCTTACTATTGTATTGTGAAGCATGAATTTAAAAGTGCACCTTTTAGAATTAAAGTGTGAAGAAAATAGTGATGAGAATGACCCGATTTTGACAGAAGAAAAGCACTGTCACTTGAAATTATCTTTCTTTAGTTGTTGATGAAACTCCGAAATCATGGTATGGGTGGTTCTGAAGAAAATCCTGACCTTCAGAGAAAGTGAATGAAGAGGGGGCCCCATGAGGCTGCTAGAATGTTAGATCTAGTTTGGGTATAGCTAGATGTTAGGGGTTAGAGAAAAGGGGTATATCTGTATCACTTAGAGATTATTACCAAGTCTATTTGGGTATCTTGCATGAGACCATGAAAAGGTAACAGATTCCATGAAGAATTCTGAAGAGAAGTTGTAACCCGCACAATGTACAGCTTCTGTTACATGTTTGTACCTCCCCTTTTATTTTGCCTTCATAGGCTCCAGTGTGGGTTGCTTATATACAGACATTGTGTGTATTGCCTATGTATCATATTTTGAAATACTGTATAAAATGTGTTTGTGTTGATTTCAAGCATTTCTGACAGTTTCAAGTATTCTCACCAGTTTTGTTTCTTTGCAGCTTTTTCTGCACAAGCGAATCAGCTCTTTACTCCTCATGGTTCTAATCCTTCAACACCTGCTGCTACTCCAGTCCCTACCCCATCACCTGTCAAGGCAATAAGCCATCCATTAGCACCTGCAACTCCACTCATCCCTGGGATGAACATATCTACCCCTGTCCTTCCTGTTTTCCCAGGACAGGTCTCCTCTTCCATCCATACATCTCAGCCATCAACCCCAACCCCTACTGTCATCAAGTCGCTTTCATTGCCTGGTGTTCCTGTCACATCTGTCCACAGCGCAACCTCTACCCCTGTCCCTGCAGTCTTCTCTGGGCTGGCTTCTATACCCACTGCGACGCCAGCGCCGCAAGGGTCTTCCACACCATGTGCCACACCTGCACCTAATGAAGCTTTTGCATCTGCTTCCACACCATTTGCTAGTGTCCCTTTTTCTGCAGCCTCTTCAGTTGCTTCAGCTAATAATCCTGCTCCATTGTCATCAGTTTTTGCTGGCCTCCCGTTGTCCCTGCCACCCAATCCCCAAGGCATTTCTAGTCCTGTGCCTTCTACAGTCGCTAATTCCCCTGCCACTACCATTCCTGGTTCACTTAGTTTGCCTAACCCGATTCTGTCCGTTTTAAAGGGATTTCTGACATCAAATGACACTTCATTAATCAATTCATCTGCTTTATCTTCTGCTATGTCAAGTGAGCTTGCTTCTTTGTCCGCCCTTGCTAACCAAAACTCCGACCCTCCTGCTTCCTCTGTCAACAAATGTTATACTCCATCAGCCACCCCCACCCCACAGCGCTCCTCCACACCCGGGCTGGCCATTTTTCCAGGTCTTCCATCCCCATCCGTGGCCAATTCTAGTTCCACTCCTCCGACATTGCCTGCACAGTCGCCTCTAACCACTTCACCGTCTATTCTGCCAGTCAACTGTGGCTCCTCAGCCTCCCTCTTGCATGGCACAAGCCCTACTAATCCTGATCAGCAGCTCTCCTCAGCCCCAGCTGCCACAGGTATCCCCACAGTTCTGGTCAAAACGGAACCCATGAGTCCTACCCTTTCAGCCTTCAAAGGCCCTTCTCATTCGGCCGGCCCTTCTCACGGCACGCTAGGCCTGTCGGCGCTCGGGCGCGCGTACACGTCGGCAGCTTCGGCGCCGGGCAGCTTACCCAGCTCCCTGAATCCGGCGCTGTCAGGTCTCTCCTCTTTGAGCGCTCCTTTAAACAACCCCACTTCTCTGGCTTCCATTTCCCTTGCCCCCCATGGCTCCCCCGCTCCCATTGCCCCCGTATTTAATGGGCTTCCTCCTTTTACGTCGCTAACCAGTAACTTTGCTTTTACTGGTAACCCAGCACTTACGCCCCCTGTCACTCTCCCCGGGTCTCTGTTAGCTACTCCGTCTACAACCGCTTCAGCTGTGTCCGCCCCTCATGTGAACACCACAGCAGCTGTACTCTCAGGACTCGCCGCCTCAGCAACAGTCTCTGCTCCACCCTTTTCGCTGAACTTGTCCAGTGCCGTCCCTTCCCTTTTTTCTGTCGCCCAGGGACCTCTGGGATCATCAAACCCATCCTTCCCTGGTTTTCCTGTCTCTAACACACCCTCTGTCACTCCTGCTCTCCCTTCTTTCCCTGGCCTCCAGGCATCTTCTGCAGTAGCAGCAGTTGCACCGTTGCCGGCAGCTGCCACAGCCCCATCTCCGGCTCCGGTCCTGCCAGGGTTTGCCTCGGCCTTTAGCTCAAACTTCAACTCTGCACTGGTGGCACAGGCTGGGTATGTTTCTGTTTCTGAAGGAGCTCAGAATCTTTTCTTTCTCTCCAAGCAAAACACTCATTTAACTTTAGGCATAGACTTTAATTTCAGTTGTAGTTAGCAAGTAGAATTAATTTTTAAATTTAATTTACCAGTAGATTTCCACCTGTCTTTAGAAACTTAATAGCTACTGACTAGATTATCTTTCTCAGTAGTCCCAGTTTTCACAGAGTCTAATCCAGGGAGGTGCTGAGTGACCTTATTTCCCAGACGGTACCTCCCAGTATTTTACAAGAATGGATCCCATGTGGGCATCCATCGACATCTTCAGGTCACAGCAGACAACATGCTAGATGTTACTATGATTTTAGGGAGCCTTAGATTTTGTATACAAACAATAGGTACAGCCAAGTACCTATGGCTTCTGACTTCCTTTCTCAGGTGCATGTGTATTCCAGATAGTCTTAGCTTCTATGTGCACGAATAACTTCTAGGTGGCTAGAGGCCGTTTAGAAGTTCTAACCTTTCTGAGGTTTAGAAAAACAGATTTTTAATTTATATAGATACAAGCTTATGTAGACAGAAACATAGGATAAAATGAGATACAGATGTTCCTAATAACAGCTATATCTTGGCTCATTCTTTCAGCTTAACTTCTGGACTTCAGACGCCAGGAAACACAGTTTTTCCTGGTCTTTTATCTCTCCCTGGTATCCCTGGCTTTCCCCAAAGTGCCGCACAATCTTCCCTACAGGAGCTGCAGCACAGTGCGGCCGCACAGTCAGCACTACTACAGGTAACACGCTATCGATTTGTTAACACTGTTCTGCTTTCAGCAATTATTTGAGCTTATTATTTGGGTGTTAACTTTTGGAGATTCCTTTAAATGAATAGCATCCCTGGCTTGTTTGAGAACTGATTACTGGTTATTGATAAGGAACAACTTGGGTTCAATTTCTGCTGAAGGATGACCGATGAATGTATAGTGCTTCTGGAGGTTATTAGTGTCATGAAGCCCTTCTTGAAAATTCTTGGTAAAGCGGTGAGCGTTTTAAAGAAAAAAGGAGAAGCAGAGCTAGTGTTGGGTTTCTTATAAATTTAGTGAACTGACCATCTAGTTGCAAAATCTGGACCTAGTTCCAATCTGAGATTTGAATATTTAAAGGAGTTTTCTTTTGCCATAGGTCACATGTCTCCTGCACACAAAATTCAGATTTCCTTGAATTTGTTTATGCTGGGGTTGTGCCTTTACTTTGATAGTTTCCACAGGTACTGTAGTTGTTATGCAAGTTTGAGGGGGCTTTAGAAAATGTGTAGTTTCAGCATGTCTCTTGTTCATGGAACAACTAGTTTCAGTCCTTGACCTACGTAGGTTATTTGAAGCTATCATCAGGGCTTGTATTTGGTATTTTAGATAGATTTAATCTACCTTTTGAGTAGGACTAGTATTCTGTCTGTAGTTTTACTTTATTTTGTTTACCAGTGTCGTTGCCTAACATTTTTTTTTTTTTCTTCTCCTTAAGGCACATTCTGCTTCTGCTCTGGAGAACTATACAGCTCAGCCTGAAGGTTTTGCTAACTATTCATCAACACCAGGAACACCATTTTCTTTGCAGACAAGTCTACCCCAGAGTGGATGGCAATAAATACCAGCTATTTTTAGAGACTGCAGTAGTTTCTTGACAGAGCCTGATCCTGCTTACTTTGAAGGCTGACATAATTGCACTCCGCTTCAGTTGGAGCATGATCTGGATGGGGGAAAGAAGGGGAAACATGAGGATAAAAAGCTTCTGGGAAATGGTTTGTGTCAGACTGCAAACCATGTTATGATTGCTTTTAACTGATTTAGGGTCTGATCCTGTGAATTGCTGAGCATCCTTGACTCTCTGCATAGTTTGAGTTCAGTGTTTGCTTTTTTATTTTTATGGGATTGGGACGGTTCAAACAGATATATATGTAAATAGAGCAATTGGCTGTCAAACTGAATGGGGAGAACAAGTATACTCAATAGTGTGTATACCTGCCTATTCTTCTGTTATGTTTTGTATGGTATATGTGGTTAATGTAGAATGAGGTCTAGAGTGGAATTAGATACTTCAAGCTAAAGTTGGTGATCTTTAGTCTAGATGCACACCTTCTGTGTGTGCATGGATCAAGATCAATTTATGGTTCTTAGGATCCTTTCACGTGCGTGAGGATCTCCTGTTAGCATCGCTAGTATGTCAAGAGGAGACTTAGATCAGAGGTGCTTGGGGGGTTTCTTATGCATTGAAGTACTGTCACGGGCTCGCTGCTGAATTGAGTACTCCACTGTCGGAATCTGAACAGGAGAGCTAGGAAATGAGGCTGTACTATATGTGGATAGAAGTGGATTATGTCTTATTGGAGTATGGTTTAGCTAGCTGGTAATATGTCTTTCTGAAGCACGTAAAAGCCTTTTAATTCATCTCTAAGATAATGTTCCATAACATCCTCCCTGCCCCTGTACTTCTCTGTGAATAAAATAATTCTCCTGCGGGTAGGTTGCCTATCTGGCACTTTTGACTGCAGACTTTTGTGAATGTTTACAGACATGGGTCAAGTTGTTCTCTCTCTTATATTCACAAAACCACCGATTCTCTTTAAGCTTTTTGGCTCTAATCCTCAACTTGATGGTGCTTATGTTATCCTGTGAATATAAGGGGGAGCAGAATTTGGACCATGGGATTTTTTTTTTTTTAGTATTTTTCCTTGGAAAACGTACATGATTTTAAAGGCAGATACCTAAGTTAACTGTATTGGTTAGGAAAGGTTATGACGCAGTATATAAAAAGGTCTTGCTTTGTTAGTAAAGTTCAGTTGTGCACTCTTTTAATAATGTTAGTACCTGTGGCAATGTGTAAACACATCATTGAATATCATCTATTTAAGATAAGCTCTTGGGTCATGTTCTGGAGACAATAGAGATGAGTGATATTCAATCCTGTGATTAAATTAAAATGTAGAGGATAATATACTGTAGAACAGCTCTGCACCTAGAGCTTTACTTTTTTAAAAACGAATTCTGCTGGGAGATGTTGCTAATGTATTTTCTTTCAAGATGTGAACAAACTTTTTTAGAACATTAATGGAAATTCCTGTATTGCTTTTTAACACAATTTTTTTAAATAAAAAGTTTACAGTCATGGCACAAAGGCTTTGCTGACTATTTACCTATTTGCTTATATAATGGATGAATAAATTTCTTTTTACTAAGATGCCTCCTAATGTTTGATCTTGTTTTTCTTTTTTAATCATGCAAACTTGTATACTAAATTGTAAAATAGATTCCCTAAAGAGTGATAAATAGAAATGTTGAAGTGTTTTGATAGAAGTATTTAGAAAATGTAAACAGTGCCCTATTTAGTTTGCCAACCCATGGGTAGTCATGTATTTTAATAATGAAACATAGAAGTAAAAATATAATGCACTTTTGCAATTTTTTATTTTGTAGAAGCTGTTAAATTATAATGATTCTCCCTTGGAACTGCTTTTAAAGCAGTGCCTTAAAGATTCACACTAAGAAATACATGCACAAAATCTGCACCTTTTATCATGACACTTTTCTACTCTTTCTTTTAATGAGCTGTTCTTTGTAGGTTTGTAGAACAGTTGAAGAGGGGGCAAAAGAAAATATTCTTGTCAAAAGGAAATTGGCGTTTGCTTCTTAGACTTGACTATATGTGTAGTTAGACTTGAATATATGTGTAGTTCAAAATCAGTAAGCGTTTTGTAAACTTACTGAGGTGCTGAATTTGGTCTCTGAGCCTTGATTACCCCATAAAGCAATCCAAAATGGTTAAGCTAACTCAGATTGCTCTAGAATTACTGTGGTCAAAGTCAAGTACTGCACATCATCTGCTGGGCAGTCATTTATCCAGAAGTAAACAGTTTGTTTCTTATTCTTAAAGCATGAATTGCATGGTCACGTACGTGATTGCTTAGATGTATTTATTTATATTTAAATTAACTTTGGACAACTGAAAGATATCTAAGAAGGTGAAGCCTTGCTTTCCCAAATGAAGTCAAGTGAGGAGTAGTCAATGTCCACTGTATTAAACACTATTCTCCTGAAACTATACTTTATGAATGACACTGGTGCCTACCTCTGGGAAATGTCCTTTATCAAAAAGTATATTACATGTACAGCTGAGGTACTTTTACCTAAAAGTTTATTTTCAAACTCAGAAGTGAACAAACAGGGCAAGGAGCAGCATAACTTTCAGCAATTATTCTCCAAAATAATCTTTGTTTCTTTATGTTTTGGTAAATCATATTGAAAAGGATTAAACTTTCTATTTATTGGGATTAAGACAAAATTCCATTTAAGATCTCTCTCACTGTAAAATCACTTTTCTAATTCCCTCCTGTCCCTCCTCAGCAGTAAAGTCTGTGTTCTATACTACAGGCCTGGAAAAAGACTTATTGTTTTGACATTTCCTATTTTCTTGCAAACTGTCTCTTTCTGGCTGCCTTTTGGCAGATTTTCTCCTCTATAGCCATATTCTGGGAAAGTGTAGCCCAAAAGAAGCCCTAACTTGTCTCCTCCATCTTCTGCTACTACCAGCTAATGCCATTTTCACCTGAGATGAGGAACAAAAAAATATAGGGGACATTCCTGCAAGTAATAGGATGTAAATGTTAATCTTCCCTGTCCTGGTTCTTCTACATTTCAGTCTGGAGGAGGGGAATGAGGAGCCCAGAGCAAATGCATTGGTGTATATTCCGGGGGTATAACTCAGTGCCAGGGAACGAACAGCCTTTTCCTTGAGGGAGCCACAGCCCTCATGCAATGCAGATGGCCCAAAAAAAGACTGAACCGACTGAACCCAAAAGTTACCCACAAATCTCATGTGAGGACTGACTGATGACTTTCCTGGGATCTTTGGGGTCGGTCAGCACTGCTAAGAAATAGCCCTGCGTGTGAGTCACTGTTCTCAGTGATTTTTAACAAGGAGTCATGCAGTGGGTGCTTGGTCTACAGGGTTAGATCTCTGCAACGGAGTGATGGGATGAGTGGTAGCAGAGTAGAAGGGACACTGAAGAGGTGGTCATGTTTTGTATGTTTGGGCTGGTTGGTGCCCGTATGCAGCTTCCTGGCCATCCTGCCCGACTTGAGTCTTGCTGCAGGCAAGGTGCCGCAGGCAGGTGACTGCACCCAAGGTGTCTAGTCCTGTTGAAGGTGCTGTTGGATTATTATTTGGATTATTCTGGTTTTCTTCGTAGCACTGCTCTGTGCCCCAGAGCTGCACCAGGCTGTGAACTTGCAGCCTGGAGACTGTTTTGGTCCTGAGTGCTTGCGTATTTCCTTCTCGGAGTGTTTTTTGGCACTTGAAGATGTGAGATGTAGTTACTCTGTTATCCACATGTTCCAGCATATCCCTGGGAGAATGGATTGACATTGCAGTGCCTTTGACTTTCAATATTTGGAGTAAAGACAAAATAAAAATGCATCTGAAATTAACATTTGTATGGCTTTTTTCTATTTTCCTGAAGGTAAAACAAAAACACTTTTTGTTCTTCCAAGGGATATATTTACAAGCACCCTAAAGAATTCTCAATAAACAGCAGGAGAACATGTTTTTCTGTTAGATTTTCAATTTGTTTCCTCATCTATCTGATGGTGTAAGCATCTATGTAGGCTGCAGCATCCAAATGGCTTGTAGTAAACGAAATGATTTTCAATAAAACCGAGTTACTCTAAAAACAGAAAATAAAAGATTACGATAGTTTTGCAAATTGTTTTCATTTTCTGGATATGCTTAAAAGCAGGTTTTTCTTCTAACTGTACACAAATATTGCCCATTTACTAAGCATATGTCAGGAAGGGGTTTGGTCATACAGCTAAGCACAAGAGATCAAATAATTGGAAAAATGCAGGAGGTAACTTTAGAATTTGTGACATGTGGAGGAAGATACTGACATCAGCACATGAGCTCCCCTTTTGCAAGCAGCTTGTGGTTTTCCTTGTGATTAAAAGCATCTGTTCAGTGGTTTAGTTTCCTCTCTTTGTAAAGCTCAGAAGAGGATCCTCTAGGGAGCAGGCAGCTTTGAATGACTCCTCGGGGACCAGTATGATTATGGAGGAGGATGGAGACTTGAGGGAAATGAAGCTGGATCCAGATCTTCCAGGATACTCTACATGGTGAATGCCCCCAGAAACCATATCTGTATCATTAAGGCCACTATATGTCACAGCTGTAAATTACATATGAAAAAACGTCTCTCAAATAGAGTGCCATAGTTTTGCGTTTTTTGCCAAGGCTGCCCTCCCCTGCTGTGATTTGCATAAATGACTCAGAAATGTTAGTGCTTTAATATTGATGGATTTGAGCTCAATGTTGAAAGAAAAGATGTTTGAGAGATGATGCATGTTCTTATTTCTTTGAAAATTTGAAGATTTGGAGCTGACATGCTTCCAGGGCTTTTGAATTGCATGATGGAGTTCAACCTGGTGGGTCTTTAAGTCCTATTGCGATGTAAAATACTCTCGTGAGTTAACTAGTGCACCATAGAGACTTCGCCTTCTTTGGGATTGGAGCTGCAACTAAACCCCATAATATTAGGCAGAGGAACAGTACTTTCTCTCTCTCTCTCTCTGTTTCTCTTTTCTTTATTAAAAAAAAAATCATCTTCAGTTTGTATATTGCCAGGGGCAAAGCCAAGCGGACCAAATTCACTCTTGACTGGAGGCCACAGAGGACCAGAGAGTTACATCAGACACAACCGTCTCGTGACATTGTTTTTGTAAACATCTCCTCGCCAGGGCAACTAAGTCCCCGAGGGCAGCCGTGTGAGCGGGGATCTCTCCAGCCCCCGTCTCCAGGCCGTGCGTGAGCACCATGCTGCTTGCGGGTACGCTGCCCTCTCAGCTGTGAGGGGACCAGGCCTGCCCGCGCTAAGATGGATCCCAAGAGAGAGGCACCCAAGAAAAGCAGCACAGAGCATTTCATTGGTAAGCGTTTTTCTAGATTATTCTGTTGTTTCATGGTAAAAGGTAAAGCTTTGGGGCTAATCAGAGCATACTCTTGGTGGTCTTTGAAGGCCTAGGCCCAACTTTGCTATTTAGAAGGATATTTCATATCCTTCTTTTCTCATGGGAACTGAAGTTTTCAGTGCTGAGATTGGGAACTCTAGGGCAGCCCTTATGGAGAGTGATTCAGTTGTTTTTTTGTCAAGCTTTGGATGTGTATTTCTTCCCCAGGGTAGTGTTATCTCTATTGTGGATCAGGGATGTTCAGAATATGATCAGGTGGATGTTGGTACATGATGCTAAAATCCAAAATTATTGTGGATCATCTGGGTGACGAGTCTGGCATTGCAGAACAAGACTTCCAAGCATGTATACTAATAGCTTAGGTGAAATAGCACAGAACATGGTGTTCTGGTGCTCAAAGCACCCCTTTGTGATTACTGTTTTTTTGCACTAGTAATTATGAATGATGTTATTATTCATAATTGTTATTCTGTGATTTTCTTTGATTGTTTTCTACTGATTGAGAGCTATTCGGATGCTTGTACCTGCTGTAATACAGGTACCGCTTCAGCCTAACACACCACTAGTAAAGATCAGGGTGTCAAATCGCTGCCAAAGTGTTACGTTTGCACGCTGAATCTTAAGTCTTGTCTTCAAATATATGGCCTTAAGGTTTGTGTGGCAATTTACTCAAGTGAACTGCTCATTCTTGTGCGCGACTACAGAAGCGTTGTTGGTAGCTCAGTAAAGAAACATGGACTTGAAATTGTTGCTTGGCAATTTACTCAAGTGAACTGCTCATTCCTGTGCGCGACTACAGAAGCGTTGGTAGCTCAGTAAAGAAACACGGACTTCAAATTGTTGCTTTTTGGAAAAAGTCAGGACCAAAGTCAGACTCCTAGGACAACAGTTACGCCCCCAGCTCTCATGGAAAGCATTCTTAGGAAGGCCTGAAATTGGCCCTTTTGAGCAGAAGCTTATTTATATGTGAGTGATTAAATGGGGAGTGGGAACCTCAGAGGTACCAAGGGAGAATCTACAAGGAGTGCAGGGCTCTTGCAGCGACCTTGCAGCTAGGCACAAGTCAACTGAGAGGGAGGTGCTGGAGAAGGAGGATTTGGTGTCTCACCTTCTGGGATTGCCGGCATACCCAGACAAACCGGTCAGTCCAGCTCTGCTGGTGCTCCCCAGGGGCCTCCCCTCTTCGTCCTAGCCTCACACACCAGATATCCTCATGCTGTCTCACAGGATGACAAGTACTTCTCAAAAACTATGAAGTGCTTCGACCTTTTTATTTAACCGTTTCCATCTATATCTGATTTTGCTATAATGTCAGAAATTCCTATTTTTTTCTGAAGTAGCATATCCAAAACCACCAAGAATTTTTGACTGCTTATTCGTAACAAAAGCAGACACAAGAAAGGAAACAGTCTTGTATGGGGGCTCCCATGAACATAATGGCAGGCCTCCCCAAGTGTGCTATGCCCAGTGCACGAGCTTGTTCCTTGGCTTTTTTCATAGCAGCTCTACCAATCCTAGGCATATATATACATATATATATATATATGCACACACATATATGGCTTTTCAGCACTCTGCCACAGGGCTCTGTGGCAGGACTGTCCTGTTTCACTCCTGTCCCTTTTCCAGACCTCTTTCATGAGGGCTTCAGCAGCTCCAGCTGCTCTTCCCTTTCTGAATGGCAGCTCCTTGATCCCCTGCGCCCTACAAAACACCCTCCTAAACTTGTAGTACTTGAAGAACTCGGCACTGCTCTCGCTCCAGACACTAAAATAAAACAGTTAATATTTGGGGATGAGAAGAGTTTGAACAAGGTGAAAGGACTGGCTGAAGCATGAGTGTGCATTTTGGTAAGAACTGATTTGGAAGCTTATCTTCCAGAGGATGAACTGGTCCCTCAGTCTTCCTCATCTAAAGATAGCAGGAGTTCCTCCCATTCTCTCTATTTCCTGCTTAGTACTGACCTGGCGCGCTGACAGTTACTCATGTCCACGGATATTTTACTTGATTTATTTCTCCTAATCCTCACAGTCTTGGCAATGCTTTTCACTTTTCCTCTTCCTTTCCTGTTGTAAAATGTACTCTTTGAACCTTTTAGCCCTTTGCGCATCTGCCTGGATGTCTATTTCAGTGCTTTATGGCTTTCAGTGCATGTAGGAAAGCAGGAGTGAGCCTTTGGACGTTGCAGCTTCTCCTTATTGCAGCAAGCTAGATCTGTGTCCCTCAGATAATTCATCTCAAAATTTGTATTTGTTTTTCACTTTTCTGTAGCTGACAGGCGGGAAGGACTTGGTATCTGTGGATGGATCCTGGTTTCCCTTTCTTTCCTGTTTGTGCTTATTACCTTCCCTATTTCTATCTGGACCTGTATCAAGGTATGCTATAGGGATTTGGAGAACATAAAGAATGCTCTATAATCATCATTGTAACTTATACGTTATGATTTATTTACTTTGTTAAAAGGAAGTATTTCACATTTGTTTTCTGGAAATCCTAAGATATTACACTGAAGTTGTGTGTTTGAGGCAAAGAGCTTCAAGTTCTTCCACAGACTTCCTGTATCACCACTACTTGGTTGTTTAATTTCTCCTCATCTCAGCTTCCATTACCAGTTAGACTTCCCTGCTGTACAACAATACTGCTTGACTAAATCTACAAAGTTTTCCAGAGAACACTGATTTCATGCTGCCAGCAACAGTGATAAATGCAAGTACTGATGAAAACAGGAGCAAGTCCCTGTCTTCAGAGCCTGTTTGACTTAAGGCTACAGTCCAACACATGGGCATAATATGATTAATTTAAAGTAATCTTTTAGAGCTGAGCTTCTAGGGTGATTATCCTGACTGAAATAGGTGGGTAAATTATATGATGTGAGAGATATTTTACTTTGCCTACAGCTCCTCATGGCTTTGAAGCAAAGCCATGAGTAGCTCCATTAGATCAGGGGCGATTATTGTGTATTTGGTCTGGCTTGTAACTATTTGCAGGGACAGGGCTTGACTTTTCCCAGCAAAGAATGAGGTGAGAAGAAGATGTAAAATGTTTAAACTTCTAGATTTTTTTGGTTTCTTTACTAAGAGTATTTATTATCACCTTTAAAATGTACGTCAAAGATTAAAAATAAGTCAGGCAAGAAAGCAAGTATAGAATTAGTTACTGAATTCTAATTTTAAAGTATTCCTCAAGGTCATCAAAGAATATGAGCGTGCTGTTGTATTTCGGCTGGGACGCATACTGTCTAAGAAGGCAAAGGGACCAGGTAAATGCAAGAAGTTTTATTCTATTAAGATAATGCTGGGTTTTATTCTACTAAGATGCTCTTATTTTACAGAGAATTGCAAAGACCTGTAAGATCCTTCATAGCATGGGCAGATGAAAAGGACCTCACTGCTGTGATTCCTTTACCTACAAGCCTGTGGTTGTGCTGTTTGTTTTCCTGGTTAGGTGATGATGCCATCCTCTTATCACCACACAACACATAAAAAAAATAGAAAACCTTGATACTAGATATAGTTGTGCTAAAGTGTGACCTAGAAGGTTTAAATTCTGCCTTTAACTCTGCCACCAGTTTTTCCGGAGTGACTGGGACTGCTCTGTAATTCCAACACTGCTTTTGGCTACTGTTTAGCTGTCTTCTGCCCTGCAAATAGTTAAGTGTTTCAAGGGCAGGGACTTCCCTGTATTCTGCCTCTATCCAGGACTTGGAGCAGTTGCCTAGGATCAGGTTACAAATTGCAATTACAAATCAAAACCAAAAGCATGAGGTATTTGCATCCGTGTGGTTACCACCTCTGCTCAGTGAAACTGTGCAAACTGGAAGTGCAAGTGAGGAGAAAATGCGATACTCGCCTTCCTTAAGGGCCACGTGGTCCAGAGAGGAGGCAGGGCAGTGTGGAGCAGTTCTGCCTGGCCCTGGGAATTTAAGCAAGTGCCTAGCTTAGAAACGTGGTCATGCCAACTCTGCCTCTCCAGGGAATGGAGATAGTGGGGACTCCTTCTCAGGGAAATCCAGACTTACCACAATGTGCTTATCTTATGTATCCTTATTTTTCAGGTTTGATCCTGATACTTCCCTGTACAGATATTTTTATTAAGGTTGATCTCAGAACTGTCACCTGTGAAATTCCTCCACAAGAGGTAACTAGCAGCCTTTTAATGCAAATAAAACATAGTACTGCTTTCTGGCATGATCAAGGATAATACAGGTATTTTGTATTCTTGCAGCTGCTCTCCTATATTGAATTTAGCTTATTTGCTGTATCTTCTGACTCTGAAAAATCATTGCAGGCCAAGCAATGATGTCAGCCTCCTCATGCTGACATTCAGAACTGTGCGATAAAACATAAAGAAGAACAGGGAAGGAACTTCACAAATTTCTAATTGCATTATATCACACACATGTACATGAAGTAATAAACTCGTGTAAGATATTCAGAAATTGATGTGCTGATAAAACTGGATCTGGCAACTAACCTTTCCGGAAAGCTTTCACTGAGGTCGTTATCACTGCTTGTATATACATTCTATATATGTCCTAAAAGCAAATTATATATATGTAATACATCACTTTAAACCTAAAGTAATTCATAGGCCTCTAAAAACTCTTATCCTAGTAAAAATGGAGAGGCTTATCTTTAAGCATTTTTTGTAGAAAAGAACTGATTTAATTTAATAATTTAACCTAAAGAACCAGTCCCTGAGCATGAGACTCTGACCCCAGTATGGTGCAATGTTTTCTGCTTGGGGAATTGGCATTGCTGTCCCCTTACTTAAGCAAAGGGAAGAGCAGAGTGGCCAAGATCCCTCAGCCTCTCTTGTGTTCTCCAGGAGTGGTTTCTTCTACTGTTCTCCTTTCTTAATCACAAAAAGCATTTTTATTAAAGAAGCTGACAATGTAGTTTGTAGAGGACATGTTGCAAAATAAAAAGTGGTACCCTCAGAATGGAAGGTAGAGAGGAAGGTGGTTAAAGCACTTGGGCATTTAGGCTTAGCAGCTGTTTGCAGTTTTTCTGCACAGCACCTAATTGTAGGCCAAAGATGCTGTGGAGGAGCATCATCATCTCCAGAGAGGCCTCCCTGAAGCTATTTTGCAGGGGAATGATAAAGAAACCAAAAGAAATTCTTAGTTTCTTTTAGTTATTGAGGACCATCCCTCACTAAAAAAAAAAGTTTCCCCTTTTGTGGCAAGAGTTGTTGGATTCTTTTCTAGTTCTGTACATTTCTCCAATGCAGATTCTCACGAAAGATGCTGTTACTACCCAAGTTGATGGGGTGGTGTACTATAGGATCCACAGCGCTGTCAGTGCTGTCGCTAACGTCACTGATGTCCACTCAGCCACCTTCCTCTTGGCACAGACAACCTTGAGAAATGTCCTGGGTACAAAGAGCTTGGCTCAGCTCTTGGCAGGTCGTGAAGAGATTGCACACAATATCCAGGTAAATTTAGCTCTTGAGATCACTGACAGGCATGGGAATTTGTTACAGGGGGCAGGATCTTAGAAATTATCCCTCTTTTTTAATTTAATATTGGTTAAAAAGTATTCAAGTCTTCTTTTATATATATCTCATTTCTTAAAATAAGAAATAATTTTCCCAGATTCTTGTAGAAGAGTTATTTCCTGTCAAAAAATAATGAAGATTTTGAATTTAGCCAGTGAATTGTATGAAACTCTAAGTAGTCTTTGAGTGATGTGAGAGAAACCTATTGCTTATAGAAGCTCTACCTTGAGATGGTCTTTGATTGAAGTTTAAATTGTTATTAGAGAAGCCACACAGGAAGGTGTCCTGATACATTTTCTTGTTAAAGGAGAAAGTTGAGTTGCCCTCTCCCAGTCCTGGACACAGATACCACCCAACAAGAGAGCCATAAAGAACAGGGCTGCGTTACCTGCCATGCTCACACCACCTCTGATGTTCCTTCCCCAGATGTGCTCTGTGTTTCTGTTGGGTATATTTGCCCTCTGCATTCCCTGCTAAGAGGCAGGGTAAATCACACGTTTTTCTCTCTGCGTCACTGCTACTGTTGGGTTGTTTGTTTGTCTCTAAGACTATCCTTGACAGTGCCACGGACCACTGGGGGATCAAAGTAGCCCGTGTGGAAATCAAAGATGTCAGGATTCCAGTGGCAATGCAGAGGGCGATGGCAGCTGAAGCCGAGGCCGCACGAGAGGCAAGAGCTAAGGTGAGGCCTGTGGCAATATTCACCATATATTTTTGTCCTGGGCATCCAGGTGCCTGTTTGTTTTCTCTCCATCCTAAAGGTGTCTTTTCCCTGCTGTTGAGCATCACAGTGTTGTTTCCATTTCTCTTGCTCTGCAGGTTGTGGCAGCAGAAGGAGAGATGAATGCTTCCAAAGCCCTCAAGCAGGCCTCCATGGTGCTGACCGAGTCTCCAGCAGGTTTGCAGCTGCGCTACCTGCAAACATTAACTACGCTGGCAGCAGAAAACAATTCCACCATTGTCTTCCCTTTGCCTATAAATATGCTTGAGGGCTTGGGGCAGAAAAATAGAGGGGGATAAACACTGTTTCATGCTAGTTGTCCCCTAAGCTTAGAGATATTATTCCAGAAATACTAGCAGAATTATTGAATAATTTGCATGTGACCAAAACAGCCAATTCTTTATCATACATAAGTAATATATAGCAGTTGCTTTACTGGCTTCAACAGAGTTTTGCTTGTGTAAGAATCAAGAGTTTGCTTTATATGCTCTTTGCCATATCACTGAACTTTCCATCTGCTCTGTAATAAAAGGAAGAGAATATATGTCTGTGTATTACAGTCACATTTCTTGAACTTTTGAAAACAGCCAACCTTGAGGGAATTGAATTGCCCTATGTTAATCTAAGTATCTTTTGTTCTGTCCCACAGGAGTTTTCTTATCCTTCTTGCAGCTGTTATAACATGACGGTACAAGTTGGTTTTCATAGTGTGAGACTTCCCCATCCTTCACCTGTGCTATGCTGGCAGTTGAGTAGGGGATGCTGGTAACATCTGAGTTCACAGCCTTCAAAAATGGCTGGGCAGCTCACATTTCTGATATGCTGTTGGGTGGTCTGCAAATGAATCTACATGCTTTTGTGTTTTGGTTGCCCTGTGTCTCATCCTCAGATGGCCCACCACTGTCCCCTCCTACACGGTAGGATCATCAGATTGCCAGATTAACTTTGACCTATCAATTCAGGTATTGCACAAAAGTACCTTATTTTAACTACAGAATAACACCAGCAGTCCAGGTGACAAATTTGTGGACACAGTAGCCAGCGGAAGGAGGAGTGGTGTGAGCATCTGAAGATGGTAGCTTGTTCCACCAACACAACTTGTCCCTGCCGTTTGTCTCTGTCTCAGGCATGACCATCTCATACACTTGGGGCAGGACTCCAAGTAAAACCTACATCCACTTGTCATCCTACCATATGCATCAATGCATTTTTCTAATGGACACTGCTGTTCTAGGAAAAGAAAGGTTTGGGGGTTTTCGATGGCATCTTAATATGTTATTTGTGGAAGCCTTTGTAACTGTGGTATCAAAACTCCCCACCTGTTGACAAATGTTACATCTCCATGAGTGCTCCCTGCCTCCCACAGAAGCAGCATTGCTTTTGAGCCCACACAGCCATGGATTGCTTCATTTTTTTTTAATATAATGCAAATTCTAAAGAAAAGAAAAACTTGAAAGATCAGAATACAGAGAGTAATTAAGAAGTATTTTGTGCCCTTGGTGAGCTACTAGCACTAACTGGCCTGTGCAGGGCTCCTGGGTCTGATACAGGACACATCCTGCCCAGTTCTCTGTCCGTGATGTTGAGCCACTTCCAGTTTCAGCTGCTTCAGAAGTGCACTTGTACTGCAGGTACAAGTCGGGTATTTGTCCCACTATTAAAATTAGAAAAGAATTCACATGCTGAAGCATGAGTGTTAGTGTCACTTTTCTTTCAGGAGTATTTTCACACAAGGTGTACATGATAAGCTCACAAATGACCAGCATTCTTTCCAAGCTATGCAAATTTATTGGCCTCTAGTATGCCAATGACAGGGGCAGTTACCAAAATCCTGATAAAAAAACCCTCCTTTTCACTTGATCCCTCGTAACTGCATTGTTGAATAATGGTCAGGGAGACAGGAATTGTTCTCCATCAGTAGCAGAGACAATAAACACAATAATTAGTAGAATAACCATTTTTTTTGACAAGGTATTCATGTACATATACATTAACAGGAAGGTATTCCATTCAACAATTCCATTCTGTCAAAGACAGGTAGCAACAAAAGCAGCTCTGTCACATTTTAGGTGTCTCTATCATCTACAGGCTTTGCAGGAGAAGCAGGAGGAGGAGCTGAAGTGCAGAAACACGTATTGGATTTGGGGAGCCGCGCAGTTTTTCAGAAGTGGCACAGGGAGTCATGCCTGTTTATGAAGTCCTGCAGCTGGATGCAGGCTTGCCGCTGAAGGGTTGCTTGGCACATGTTGTTTCCTGGAATTTTCTCCACCCAGGTTTGTGAATCGAGGAAGTATTGGAGCCTAAGTAAAAATGGAAAAGATAAAGGAGGTGATTCATTACTGAGCAACTGGAGAGCGTGAGGCCCATGACGTTGTGTCCTTCCACTGAGCCATCTCTGAGGTGAAGGTGCTGCACTGGCCAAGAGACCTGCCTGAAACCTGGATCTAGTTTCATCTTCAGGTTAACTGAGCTTTGAATAAAGTTTAGGAAAGGTCCATGACAAGCTTGGGTGTGCTTGTGTTTGGAGGGTGACACCAGGCATGTCTGGGCTAAATTTGTTAGAATTCTATTAAAGTCATAAAAATCCACAATCATCAACAATGAGACAGAGTGAAGGAGCATGTATTTCAACAGAGCATCTCAAGATTTTTCCTATTTTTTCAAAATGTTACATATTTTATGTGGTGAGAAGCCATGCCGCTTCTGATATTTTCTAATCGGACTGCAGAAAGCCTCAAAAGCTCCTGAAAAAGTGTCAGGACCTTAGCTGGCATCTGCTCATACAGTCTTCCTAACTTAAGTACTCATGTGGTTTTCAAACAGAGGTGGAGAGAGGGAACCCTTGAGGCTTAAATATCTATAGAGAAGGTCTGCTTCCAATATGCTTTTTTTTTTTTTTTGCCTTTTTTTTTTAGAGAGATGGTGAGGAATTTTACCCCAGTAAAACAACAGCCAGATTTTGATGCTGAGAAGTGTGGGAACCAACCTCTGCATGCTCAGATGTGCTGGTAGATTGGCTAGCCATGCTGTTCCCCACAGAGCAAGGGCAGCTACTCTTTTGCTTACCGTCTGCCTATACACAGTGGTATTCTGAGCACTTCGGTAAAGCCAGCAGGATCAATCCCTAAGAAATTTGGCCCTCCCTTTGCTTCCTGGAGGCATTGCAACAGTTTGGGTACGCTTTAGATACACTAGCTGTGGCAGCAGCCACAGCTCAGGAAACACTGCACTTGCCTGTTGTTGTAGTCAACTGTTTGTCCATCCTTTCCCATCAGGAGGTACCGTTTGCCCGTTTCCATTTTTAAATTGCAAGAGGAGCGCTTTAGAAACTGCCGTTGGGCACCCACGTAGATTCTTTCATCAGCAGCTGTGGCATGAAAAAAAGAAGCTCCATAAACACATTTTCTAATAACGAATAGGACCATCACCCACAGGACAACCCCATATGATTCTGCACAATGCTTCCAACGAAAGGTAACATTTCACTCAAGAGTTGCTGCTTGACGTGAGAGTAAATGGCAATCCTGTGGTAGGATATTATGCCCTCAACATTACCTAATTAAAAGTAAATCTTATCTGGTTGTCTTGGCCTCCTTGATTGTTACTGGGGAAAGAATCCCTTCTAAAGCATGAGGCACCGGAAAAAATAATAATATAATTGTATAGAATAGTATAATAGACTCTTCAAATAGAAAATAGATTTTCTTCTTTAAAACAAAGATAAATGTAAATTACCATAATGATCCAAACTATACAAGAATTAAATTGGAATAATTCTTTCAGGTCCTGGAATTGATAATAAGAAATATAAAACTGATTTTGTGCTATATTACAAGGGCTACAATATTCTTCTAACAGATTCATAGGACAGCATAAACATTAATTCAAAACACACATACCAGTTCTTATAATAATCAGAATAATCTGAGGGGTGTACATGCCCAAAATTCTCTTTTGATAACTCCTAAGCACAAATAAGTTTTTCCATATCTCTCCTGAACCAGTGTTGTCTTCCCAAGGATTGATACTGAAATAATACTAGGGGTCCACAAAACAAGATGTCGCCCAACTAATTCTCATCTGCTTTTGGTGCCAGCAAAATGTCGCCAAAATACCTTACTCTGCTCCCCGCTATCACCATTTAGTTTGTTCCAATAACTCTGAGAGAAACTACAGCCTGGATGGTAGGACTTGACTTTAGCTAGCTAACCAGAGACCATACCTTTATTTCTAGGAAAGGTATGAGCTGGTATAGGGAAAGTATTTAGTGTCATTTTTTTAGTGAAAGTTGAGGTACAAAGTGCCATTCTCACTTAAAAAAAATCATTCCAATGATTGCTTGTGAATTGTAAGAATAAAAACCATGAGACACAGAGCTATAACTTCTTAGAACTTAGGTTTTCTGGAGAGATTCGTGAATCTTTCTATCAAGGTACTGTAATCTCCCAGAGATGCTCACTTGGTACATTATCATTTTCTCTGCATACAGAAAGCACTGGCTGCTACTCATGCATCTCTGGACTAATAAAGTCTGGATTTGATCTTCCCACAGTAACTGGCCTTTGGGTAAGAATCACAAGTTCTCTACCATAAAGTATGTGGTGACATCACCAGTCCTCTGGGCAGAGATCAAAGAGTGAGATAATTATTCTAGTTAAGGCATGGAAAATTTGGGAACTTTCTTTAAAGGCAGTCTCCAGACCGCCACATGATACCATGGTGGTTGAAGCTTGAAATGTCATCTCCCAGCTTCTTCAGAAATTACTGACACTTGAAGAATGTCAGTGTTCACTGATGCTGTAAAATAAAGTTCATCCTGGCACAGCTGGGGTGGTGGGCCTGCAAAAGGACACTGCCTGCGAACAGTGCCAGTTTTCACGGGATAAGCAAAGGAACAGAAAAAGGTCTTTTGTTTGTTTGTTTTTATCACAAATATTAAATCAAAGTTTCGGAAGTTTTCCTGTATTCACTGGCTTCAAGCAAGTCAGTGTGAGAACTCTCAGCCTGCTCCACAACGGTCACATGCCTAAGCACAAGTGCTTAGTCCTTACTAAGTATTTGAGTAATGAGCTCTTCAAATCTTCATTCAGCATCAAAATAGAGGTCATTGGGTACATCTACATCAGGAAAAAAGTGGATTGGTTACAGAGGTGTATGGAGTAAAATACTTAGTGCTAAGGACATAATATCCACACTATGCACATTTTCAGAGAGTTTATTTTAGACTAGTTCCAGCTGGATCCCCTGTCCTGTTATGAATGTCCCATTAACAGCCAGAAGGTGCTTTCTGGTTCAGCTTAGTCTGAAGGGATGCACTGGTACTGCTGCACAAAGTGAACCAGAGTATGGTAAGTGGTCAGCCTACCCCTGAGTTGAGCTAAACCCAACAAGGCTCATCCAGCAAATCTTTCAATAAATAAGTCTTCTTGAAAGCTTATTATATAAGAGATTCTGACCCTATTTTCTCCAGCAAATGGAATCTACATGTCTCAGGATTGTTGTCATGCTGATTAATAGAGTTTTGCTATAGGTTAATGCAAGTGCCCAAGCATTTGATACTTACTGGCTTTAAGGATTCTCTGGATTCTGGCCTCATAGTAATCAAAAACATTCTTTTGTGTGCTATTGAGGAGCTCTACTTCATACACTGCAACAGACAACGATTGTGTGAGGCCAGATGAAAATATGAAGTTATGTCCAAAGCTGAAAAAATAAGTACACTTCAAGTACCATTATCAGTACAGTCCCATAGGTAAAAACCTATTCACCAGTCCTGGGAATAAAAGGAAAAAAAGCCAATAGGATAGTATTTTAGTGTACCTACTACACTTTCAGAAAGATGGGAACTAATCAACAGCCCCTAGAATTTGTATTCCCTTTGTCACTTTCTTTTAGGGGCAGCTACTCTATGTGTAGGTTTCCACTTGTACAGAGAAAGCTGCTTTTTTTCTATATCCTTCTGTCAGTGTCTAGCTCACCAAAGCTGATGAGTCAGTCTTCTATCAGCAACTCTTCCAAATTTTCACCCAAGGAAGAGGCCAAAAAGGTAAATTAACAAAGGAGAAAATAGTAGCAGAAGAAGCTACAGAGCTATGAGATATACTGCAACCTAGTGCTTATGGCCCTCAAGTAAACATAGAGATCATGGGGATGGTGGTACTCACTGGACTTTTCTAACACCTGTAATGTAATCTTTCAGAGACTATTCCTTTACCCTTTTCCTCCCCAGAGGAATGCTATAGCACATGTCTTCATTTCCTCAACCACCAGGCCAGATAGAGAATCTGTGGTTTTGTTTTGTTTTGTTTTTCAGGGAAGGTCTCTGCATATAAGACCTGAAACTTGTTATTTATCCTTATCTTTAAAAAGCAATATGTTTTAAATATATTGACATTTGTCTTTCATGCCTTACCATAATCCACAGTAGGGTTGTAGCACACAAAGTTCACACGTGCGCTTGTTGTTACACCTTTACTGAAAGTCGATCTTTGTCTTGGACAGGGACCTAGAGTGAACAATATAAATTATGTATTTATCTCTGTAGGTATAGATATTTAGACAGATGCAACACACACGTACCCACTGAACATTATAACAGCGAGTATAATAAAACAGAACAGCTTTTTTAGGACTATGATGGAGAGTTTTTACATATGTATGTATATACACATTATATGTAAGTATCATATAGATCCTGAATATCTGTAAAATAACAGTTATGAATGTGGTACCAAGCATACTAGTGTGTAGCATACAAGCTCTGTGTCATGTGTTATGCATTGACTTAAATTTAGAGATCATGATTGTTCATTTCAGACTTAACAAATCACATATTAATGGTTTTCAGGAGTAGCCATCTTCTTTTAGATTGACTTATTTGGGAAGTCATTACCTTCTGCACACTGGCAAACATCTGCGTTGCACATCTTTGAAAGCATTGCACTGTGCTGGGGTGCACTATAGAATACGCTGCACTTCCTTTCTATAGAAAAGAAACAGAATAACTTGTCTTAGAAAGTTCTAGTGGAAGAGATTAAGCAGCAGAAACTATCTCAGAAGCCAGACTTATCCCTGGTCCAGAGAATTCAGAGCACCAAGGAATTAGATGTACATCAACAGTCTACAAAGAACTGCAGTACCCATCTAAAAAGCCTCTGTAGACCATAGGATTGCTGTGGGTCCTTCACCATTTTAGAAGGAGGAAATAGGCTCAGCATCAGTGTCTTGCACTTGGTACTCTTAGCCATCGGAGAGAAAAGTCAACATGAACCAAGCTGTGGGTGGTATACACTGTCAGGAATCTCTCAGCTTCAGTCAAAGTAAAGGTTTCACTGTATTATTTCCATGATTATGGAAAATGAGGAAAGTTTGAATCTAATCTTCCTTGAATAGTGGATGATGTTGATTCCCCAGAAACACTTAAGCCAAACCTCTGATGTTCTTAGATGCATAGACAGACTGATACATAATGTGATATGGATATGTGATATGAAAGATAATGTAAATGGAACATCCCTAAAAACACCATGACAAGCAGGAAGTCGAGAAACCTAATTAAAAAAAAATCATGAATGTAAAGGTACATATTTTCAATATATTTGCAATGACGGACCTTTCCGAAAATGGTGTCCATGTTGGAGCTGACACCACTGTTGTTCTAGAAGATATTCAGGACAGGTTCTTTTCCACTGGAAAAAAAGTCACCTTGTTTCATTTACTGCATTAAAAGCACCTTTCACCTTTCCATTAAAAGCACTGGATTTGATTCCTGAAGGTCTCTCTTTCTAAACACTGGCATATTTGCTTTTCTGTTCCCTTAAGTTAGCATACCAGGACTGTAAAAATCATAAAGGATGGCATTTGCTGGCTGAACAAGGCCCATGGGATTGATTTGCTTTGCTTCAAATGCTATGCAGTCAGGTTCTGGTCCGGTTGTGATCTGGAGGGAAAAGGAACGAAAGCTGCAATGAGTAAATAAATGGATTCTTCCACTTGTGCCTGTACAAGCTGCTGAACGATTGTTCCTGATGGTGGAGGTGAGTCAACTCTAGCAGCTGTTGCTTCATCCTTACAACCTTTTGTTTTTTTCCTCCCATTGGAGGATTATTGGGAGATCTCTGGGGTGAGCCAAGTCTGGAAAAGGCAGTTTTCTGGGATATGTGCAGCACAGCTGCTGATCCTGCCTCAGATCATCACTAATTTGAAGTTTACTTGAACAGGTACAGGTTAAATATATGGTCAAAGCCCATCCTGTACTGTGTTTTGTGTCATTATGTGCTTTTTCCACACTTTCCAAACAATGGTAAGGTCAGGGTGACCTAACCAGACCTACTTAACAGAATTTTTGATCTACACAGCTTCTCTAGGGCAGTCTTAGCAGAAATAACGTTTTAAATTATTCCTTTGTCTGTTGTCTTATCTTTAAAAGAGCAGTGTAAGCCTTCAGCAGGGATCACCTACTATTGGCTACAGCAGTGGAGCATCGCAAAACGGTATAATCCAAAACCATAATCCAAAATATGGAGAAATATATATTGGGGAGCTTGATGACTCCACTTGTTTGTTACTGTATGGATCTTGATCCAGAAATGTTGAGCTTTGCATGCAAGGTATCCCTATGGAATTTACAGGACCATGAGTTAATACTTTGGTAATCAGGGACATAAGGACCTGCTGTATTTTAGCAACTGTTCTGACTAGAAAGGGTTCCTTACATTTTTTGTCGAAAGCCCAAATCTCAAATGTGGGCTGCATTGTGTATATGCTATCATCGGAACTGTCAGAGGTTGAAAAAAAGCATTGACTTTGCTTACCTCTCCAAAATAAAGCAAAACCTTTCCTTCCTTGTGCTCAAAGTGCTGAATATATTTGTCTGAAGACGTTACCAACTGCAGTAATGCAAACAAAAAACAAAACAAAAAAATCCTGTGAGAACAGAAATGCCATTGCCATCATCCATTATATAGTGATTTGCTTTGTTCTAACTGGTTGCTTCCTTGTTTATTTTTCCCCACAGGAAACAGTCCCTAAGAATCTTATTCGGATACAGAACCTAAGTAAATATGGTGAAGAAGTGTTTTAAATCAGTGAGGACAGTAATATATGTAAACCTATGCACATATTTACATGTCCTCCTGAGCCTTGTCCTCGTTTCTATTACAAGAAATCCCCTAAGAAGGCTGGACTCTACCAAAATTACATCTTCGCCTCATCTTTTCGTGCATATATTCAGCTTATTCAGCTTTTTTTTTTCTTCCTTTTTTTTTTTCAGTCAATACAAGAACAGTGAAAATATGTCTATTCAAAACCTCAGTTTTCCTTTTGTTATTCTGTGGACTTTGGGAAGCTTTCCAGGTGGAATTTGTATAGAAAGGGATATAAAAGCTTGCACAGAAAAGCATGTTTCTCACCTGTTCAAGATCCTGTGTGTCAGGCTCCAAGCCACTTAATAGAGAGAGATCAACAAGAGACATCTTTGGCACATTGGCACTTGCAGACCTTTATAAAGGAGACTGTCATCAGTGGACATTTACACTGAACAGCTAGTCCTGGTCTGAAGAATTTAGCTCTTCAGCTTTGCTAATGATGAAGCAAAGGGTCCTGTTCAATTTAGCTTTCTTTAGCAGATTATAATTTGAAATTTAGCTCCTTGACTAATAAACAGTTACAAAGCAAAATTAGTTATCTAAACTAGTCAGCTAGTCATCTAAAGCCAAGATGTCCTGCCTTGTCAGCAATGTAGCTGATGATAGACAGAAACAATCACCTTCAAAGCACAGTTCAACCTACAATAAAACACTGTTGAAGATACGGAGGATAAGTGGCATTTGCAAAACATCTATTTCTTATTTTATACCTAGAGGGGAGGCCAATAAACTTGCTTGTCCTAATTCTTAATGGATGAAACTATATAAACTACTCCTACCTTTGATGTTCTAGGCCCAAATCTTCCTTGCCCTAACTATCTGTTATGCATTTATATATATAAATATATATACATATTTACATTTAAATATAGTCTTTTTCTATTTCCATCTTTTCAAATATCAGATTATTTTGTCACTGCTGGGTAATGAGGGCATTATGCACTCACATAGGTTATCTTGCCATGGTACACAGTGGTATTTCAGCAAATTTTCCTTTGACACCCTCTATTCCCTGTAAGGGATGTAGTGTAGTGCGGAGAAGCTCTATAGCTGTGGTGATGTAGTCAGTGTCTTGAGTTTGTCGTAACTACAGCAATGGGAGCTTCACAGCAATGAGAAGCCTCATCCTGGCACTCAGCAATGATCCGCAGAACAATGGATTTGATTATTGATAAAATTCTCATAGTAACAAATGAGGAAAAATTTGCCTCAATCAGGGGGCAGAATTCAGTGAAGACAAATGAGATTAGGGAGATTAATTAGGGAGAGCAAATCCTTGAATTAATGGTAATTCTTGCCCTCCAATTGCTATTGTGCTCGCTGGTATCTGTGAAGGTGAAAAAAAAAAAAAAGAAAAACACTTCTGCAGCTCTGTCAAAAGCCAGCAGAAAATGGATTTTCCTGTGAGTGAATGCCATCATTGCAGGTTTCTGCAGGCCCTGCCACTATGGAAGGGAACAAAAGTGGATGTGAGTGTTACTCAGCATGAGAGGATTTCTTTCTCACCATCTCTGCTTTTGCTGATGTCTTGATTACCACAATAAAAGGATTTCATACCTGCCTTCCTCAGTCATCTCCTCCCTGCAAATAGTAATAGACAATTCCTATTTCATGAGGCCAAATTAGGACCACAAAGATGGCAAATTGCAGCCTCTAAGTGTCAACCTATCCCCCAGAAGCAGTCAAATTGTAAATGTGTCATTAGTGTATCCCTATTACATCTCATTTATTTGACAGAGGACTTCTTTCAAATGATTAGCTAATCAGGCATTTCAGAGAGCCAGACATCACCTGTGAGCTAGATGGGGCAGAATCTGGAATTGGCTGTTCATGATCTGTGCAAACAGACTAAATCTCGTACCTTGCATGGAAATTGGCTCTCTTGCCATGGAAGAGAAAATGTTGATTCAATGTTGTATGTACTTGCAAGTTGGATGCCCAGCTTATTGAATTGAAGAGTGTGACCTTTCAAATTCCCTACAAAAATGAATGCATTTTCTAATAAAGTCTTCCAATCTGCAGACCTACCTGACACAGACTTTGTAGCGTAGGGACTCTGTTTTCTTGGAAGAGACCACATCCCTTTTCCTTCTGCTGTGGATATCAAACCACTCTATATCAAGCAGTGGCTCATCCGGGCTGTGTTCTTTAACAGAGAATTCCTCATAATCATAGTTTTCATATTCAGCATCTGGAGGCGATAGACACAATCAGCCTAATTAGCCTCAGCTGCTAGTTTGTCTCCTTTTCCTGTATAATGGTAAGGACGGCGAGGCAGGGGAGGAAGTCATGCTATCTCCATGGACTTGCTGTTCTTCATTACATTATTTCTAATACCTTTAAAGTTAAAACCTTAGAGGTGATTATGGCATTATTATCTGTTATTATCTGTTGGTTAATACCAACAGATCTAGCTAAGAATGGGGCCAATCATAAGTATATAAAAGACAAACCCTTCCTCAAAGAGCTGATGATTCCAACAGAAAAGTAAATGCGGATGTAGGCAGATGATGCCATGTTTAAAGAAAGGGAAAAGACATTCTCATCAATATAAAAAATACCAATAACATATCAATATCAATAACATACCAAATGATTTTTAAGGACACAAAGCAAGCCCCTTATCAGTCAGGGAGCCAAGCTGAGCTTTCCCTGTGTGGTAGTCAGGATCAAGAGAGATGACCTAGCTCTCCTCCCAGAAGCAACTGGGAGGAGTTGCTATTACTATTGATAAATCTATTAGGTAAACTCTGCATCTGCAGTTGTCCAGAGAGCTGTTAAACCATTCAAAATTATTAATAAACTGAATGTAACAAAAAAATCAATAGTTGTGCAGGTTTCAAGGCTTCTCTATTTCCTTGCTTCCTTGCTTCATTTATTCCCACTCCACAAGGTCAGAAACCCATCAGGTGTTATTAGCAGTTGACAGAGCCTGCACCTTTGAGACCACTTGCCCTTTTTACTCACCAGCATATTTGACGACTCCTTCCATTTCTACTGTCAAAATCAAATCATCGCATTTGCTTTCCTTCAGCTCAGAAGACTGGTACATTTTTAATATCTAACACAAAAACACAACAGTAACCCCCTAAAAATATCATTTAAATGACAAGGATTTTACTCAGTTAGGACTTTTATTTAGGAAATTGCTGATAGGACATGGGAGTATGAAGAGGAACACATACTGCACTTCCTCTTCATACTCTCAGAGGCGCAGGCTGTTTTCAGAGGACTTTCATGGATATAGAACCCCTATGTTCCCACGGTCCCAAATGGCTCAGGCCCTTTGAGATAAATCTCCCCTTCCCAATGCAAAGGGATCTTTCAAGTTCCAGCCACCTCTACCAATGGGCTATTCTCAATGGGTACCTTCTGAAATTAAGTAGTAAAATTGACCATATCTGGACAGTTTCTAAATTTTAGAGTTTTGAGGGTAGGAACACAAAGGATGAGGCTATGGGAATTATTTTTGGTCTGTTTTCAAAAGGTAAAAAGTCCAAGTAGGTTATGAATTTCTGAAACACATCTTACGCTCATAGTCCCATTTCCTCTCCCTTCCACAGACACATGAAGTTGGCCCCCAAGATCAAACTGCAAATGAAAGTTAAAAAAAAAAACAAAATAGAGATTTAGTGTGTACTCAGCATATAAGCTATTTTTTTCCTGTCTTGACAGTCTTTCTTGCCTCTGCCCAACAGAACTGGGGTATGAGAAATCTGTACTTTGCTCAAAGCTATGGAAGGAGTTAGAAGACTGCATTTCCAGGGTTGGAACATTTTACTTGGTTATTGCAGTGCTCAGGAGATGTTTCCCCAATATTACTCTCTCCTTTTCAGCCAAGACTGGGTATTTTCACTGATCCTAACACCCTGTATGTCAGACAATTCCCCTGCTTCCTTTTAGCTCATTCTCAAGGAAGAGCTTGAGATTTTTCTTCACTACAGGGGAAAATTCAGGACACTGACATGAAAAGCCCCTATAAATACAATGAATTTGCAGCTAAACACCTGTGTGTGTGTGTTTTTTTTTTAAAATCTTTAGAAATACTGATTCTTTACAGGTTAAACTATTGAAAAATATTACCCAACTACATCATGATTGCTTCATAGTAGGAAAGCAAGCTGAGATGAGCCAGTATTTTCCTGTTTGAGGAAAAGAAAATCACAGAGCAATGGATGGTTGTGTACCTCTAACTCCTTCTGAATCTCTTCATCCCTATCAGTCAAAGCAATCAGGTAACGTTTTTGCCTTCCAGGTGTTTCTACTCTAACATTCAGGCTGGTTGAAGAAGTTTCCAATGTTTGTATGCTATATGCTGACAGAGCCTCCAGGGCTACCACTGTGTCCTAGGTGAGACAGGAATGGAAAAAAATATATATGCATTATTGCAAAAATAGACAAGATCAATCACCTGAGGATATTCCTCTGTTTCATATTTTTCCTGCTTTGAAATTTTCCTATTTTTGTTTGTTCCTGTCTGCACAGACTATTCATTTAAATTTCCACCCTCTTCTTTCCTTATTAAAATCCTATAAACACTGCAGGCCTGAACAATTATTATATCTTCATAAAGACGAGGAATCTCCTTTAGCTCCTAAACTCTTTTATTACAGGTCCAAAATCTTTGGTGCCTCACATGCTGAGGAAATCCAAAGAAATTCAAGATCATTATTTTTTTTTAAATGCTTTTGAATGAAAATGATAAAATCTTTATGGAATCTCCCTTTTCTTTCACCCTCTCAAATTCTACGGGCTTATGGTCAGGTACCTGTGTGGAGCAGAATCCTCCACCGTAGTTCCTCCTTTCCGTCAGCCACGTAGCAATAGGCCTCGCATAGTCCATGTCCCTCAGAAGCAATGTTTGAAGCAATGCATAGGCAGTGGCTTCCACTGAGATTGTGTCTCTGCCATTTCCCCAGTAGCGTTGCTGCTTTTCTGCAAGAGTAATTCAAGCTTCAATCCAGTTGGCAAAGACATTTGCAAAAAATTACTACGATTTTGCACAAAAGATATTTTGTGTGACAGTAGTGATAAACCGGAAATCATAGATTCTATCATGAGAGCAACAAATCAGTTTGGAAGCAGAGAGAATAGAAAAGGATAAACACATTAAGTTTTCAATTCTGTCTTATCTAATGATCACAGACTGTTGTTCCCATTGTAGAGAAGTGTCCATCCAACTAAGTGGTAATGTTGTCTCAGACGGTACCAAAAATATTATAATTATCTCTGTAAGTCCGGGCTTGATTAAGGGAGGCATATGCCCTATGTTTAAACTATGGCTATTAAACCACGATAGATTTAACAAAGAAATTTTGAGAAATGGATAGTTTTGCTATGCACCCACAAAACGAAGCAGCTCAGCCTTGACCACAACTGCGTACCAGATGGAAAGAAGTGACACCTCTGTGGGGTGGGAGCAAAGCACTTAGGACTGGAGGGAGATTTTGGAAGCAGGTGGACTGGAACAGACATATTCGCCCTTGTTGGCAAATCTGTCATAAGACTGCTCCCACATGTAGTTGCTCAATCCTGCTGCCACCAAAGGTTTTATCTTTCTCAGATGAAAAGCTCAATATGAGTGTTTTTCCTGCTGCAGTTCCAGGGAGTGGAAACTTTGGTAGGCAATGAGGAAATGGAGATGATGAAGCAGGAAACATCTGATTATTTACTATGGTTTTCTTCCAACTCTAGTATCAGGTGAGATTGCAACACAAAATTCAGATTCCTAAGCTGTTACTTTAAAGTGATGTCAAGCATATTTCAAGCATATTGATTTAAAAAATCAAAATATGTGATTATGTGGTTTCTACAATTGAGTATACTACACAAATACATATACACTTTATGACATTAAATGGCTTTTGTTTACTTGAATTTGCATTATTCATGTAGCAGAGTGTGTAGTAAGTGTTTTAATTAGGAAGACCTTTTTTACAAGTTTAATTTTTAAGAAAAGTTACTAGTACCTTCATCAAAAGAAGAACACCCTCTTAATTTTTCTGTAGCCCATCTGGCTTCCTCACTATCGGACTGAACAAGTGTCAGAGCATAAGCAGTGATGGCTGTAGAATAGAAATTCAGGTTTCTTGAAAGATGGTTTTTCATGTAAGCCACAGATTTTGTAATCACGTCCATCTGTGAAAACAGAAGGGAACCATTTGAAAAAGTGGTTCAAAGCTAGTAAGCAATAATGCTGATATGAATACTAGGAAATCAGAATAATTCAGTGTGACCGTATTTGAGATAAGTTTAATAATTTTTACATTGTGATTAAAACCATTAAAAATGGAGTGCCTAACTCAAAACACCTTGCTGTATGTTAGGCTACTGTGTCATAGAATCATAGAATCGTTAAGGTTGGAAGGGAACTTTAGAGATCATCTAGTCCAATCCCCCTGCACATACAAGGTCACTTCAAGTATGTGGCACAGGATTGTGTCCCAAGCAGGTTTTGAAGATCTCCAGAAAAGGAAACTCCACAACTTCTCTTGGCAACCTGTTCCAGTACTCTGTCACCCTCACTGTCAAGAAATTTTTCCTTAAACTCCTGTGGAACTTCTGGTTCCTCAATTTGTGGACGTTTTCTCTTGTCCTATCAC